TGGTATATGAAATTTTGATGGACCATTGGAACAATCACCAGAACATTTACAGCTGTAAAATTTGATGGGGATACACAGATGCATATATCACAGTTGTTTAATGATCAACAAATAATTTAAATTCAATTTTTAGTGATAAAATTATTGAGGAGAAAAAAAAAACAAGTTTATTCATCAATCTTTATCTATGTTATTTTTTTTTTTTTTGCTTTCTGAAATATCAAAGAATTTTTTGTGCAAATTATTGGAAAGAAAAAAAAAAAATATTCAATCTTTCATTATAATCAGTTACCTTCGGCTGCAAAATTCGTACATTGTTCGACACGCACATTCTTTTTTTATGCACTGTTTTTTACTTTTTGCACATTGGCAACCCTGAGTGGATTTTGTCACCTAAAAAAACCCAACTGAATGCCATCATTATTGTCTGAACACTTATATGGGGGTGCTGATTTTGATACCGTTTCTGATCTGCTGATCTTAATGCTGCTATATTCGACTGGACTAAATTAATGTTAGTTAAACTGATTAAAGATTAACACCAGTTTTTGTGCATCTTCTTTCATTTATCATCAAACTTCAAAAAAAAACCCCTAAAACAATCTTTTGCAGCCAAATATTTCGTTAATATTTCGTTTAACATTAAATGTTTTTGAAAAAGTCGCTTTTTTTTTTTATATAACCGACAACAATTGGCTTTAATTGAAGGCACTAAACTGTTTGATCTGTTAATACTATTGCTTTTCCATTTTCCAATGCATTTTTTTCACATTCAACTGATAATCTTTGATCAATGCTAATTGCTCGTCTAAACTAAACTAAGCTTTAAAAAAAGATGTATCGCTATCCTCTGAATCCTTTTCATTAATAAAATTGTTCTTTCCTGTTACTTTCAGATCCAAATTTTTTTCATCTACGGCACTGTTTAAAATAAACAAATATATTGCAGAAAAAAAAAAAAAATTGAACAATTTTTTGTTCGAAATCAATTATTTACTTCTGTCTTATAACTCATTAAAATTAAACTGCTGTTGTATTGAAGGAAAAAAAAAAAAGGAAAAAAAACAGTTATTTGAACAAATGTTTAAAAAAAAAAAATTACGGAGCACCAAATGAAACCTTTTATTTGCTTCATATTACATTATTCATCAA